GGTTTAGGGATTACATTCGTATGCTAAAGGAGGAGAGGAAAAAGGAGAAGGAGAAAGACAAAGACCATCGGCACAGAGAAAAAGATCATCATAAATCGGAGAAGAAGGATAGAGATCGTAAGGATGTTGATAAGTATAAGGAAAAATCATCAAAGGATCGGGTTGACAAGGACAGTTCAAAGGACAAAAAACGCAGGAGCGAAGTACCTTCGGAGGAAAATGGTAAAGAAAAGAAGGATGCAATATCGGAGAAAGAAAGTGGAGAAATTGAAGATAACGATGAAAAACCATCGAAAAAAGAAAATGACGTGAGTGTTTCAAACTATTTAAATTGATTAAAAAGATATTTTATGACGATTTTAAATGATGGTTCTTTATTTAGAAGGAGAATGCGGAAGATCAATCTGACTCTGAGGAAGATCGTGAGAAACAGAAACGAGAGCGTGAAAGAAGGGCGGAAGCGAGCCTTCGTGAAAGAGAAAGAGAAGTTCAAAGAACTCTTGCTACACATCTTCGCGACCGAGACAAGGAAAGGCAACATCATCGTCATACAGAAGCTGTACAGCATTTCAGTGCTCTTCTTGCTGATTTAGTATGCATTTTGGCACAATTTATAATGAATAATTCGAATTTTAAATAAATTCAATCTTTGTAATAAAAAATGTAATATATTTTTAGGTGAGAAATGGTGATTTGGCTTGGAGAGAAGCTAAACGACAATTAAGGAAGGATCATAGATGGGAATTAGCAGAAAGCTTAGATCGTGAGGAAAAAGAAAGATTATTTAATGAACATATAGAACAGCTTAGTCGCAAAAAACGTGATAAATTCCGAGAACTTCTTGATGAAGTAGGAGCTTCTACTGAATTAACTGCATCGTGGCGAGATATAAAAAAATTACTGAAAGACGATCCTAGATATCTTAAATTTTCATCCAGTGATCGAGTATGTAATTTAATTAAAAATCTAAATGATCGATATCATATATGTATATATATGTATGTATATTATATTTATATATTGTATTTGCAGAAATGTGAAAAAGAATTTAAAGAATATATTAAAGATAAACTTGTCGCAGCTAAAGCCGATTTTAGAGAACTTCTACAAGTATGTTAAAAATAAATAAATAAATTATAATTTTTATTTTAATATAATATATAATATTTTTCGATGAGTTATATATATATATTTAATAAATTTGTTTAAATATTAATTTTAGGAGACAAAACTTATTACTGATAAGACATATAAAAAAGTACAAGAAAATAGCGGACATTTAGCAGAAATTGAAGAAATTTTGAGGAAGGATAGAAGATTTCTTGTATTGGAAGCAGCAGCTGCTGAACGAACACGTTTATTAATGGGATATTTAGAAGAATTGGCACGTAGGGGTCCACCTCCACCACCTACTGCCTCCGAACCTTCAAGAAGACCAACTACAAAGTAATTATCGTCTCCAATGAAGCAAGAAAGATGTCTATACCTGTTTGAATTTGCGGAATCTATTTTTGTTCTAGCTAACGAGGCCCGCATCAAAGCATGGTATATATATGGTGTCCAAATAACAAATCAGTGATTGAATTTATAGCTGTAGTTGAATTGAAGTACTTTACACACGAGATGATTATCGCCTGTAATTATAGGATTCAATAAAACTAACGCCAATTCCACACAGCTAAAAATGTGTGTCATACTGTAAAGATGCCATAGTGTAAGCATATCATTATTTGTTGGATTACATTACAAATAGATACTAGTTAACGAAAGAATTATTAGTAATATCATAAAGTGCGAATTTTATACATATTTTATCCAGGTTTGTTACATAAGCACCCCATTATGAATCTTTTGTATGAAAATTACATGAGAATTACAACGAGTGTTTGTTCCACACTCTCAACTAGTTTAAAAGCATGCGCAGTGAATTTCTATAAACTGATGTTAAAATATAATAGTCCAAAAAATTTTAATCCTTGTATCTAAAACAAACAAAAAATGTATAACGTACGACAATCATGCACCATAATTTTTTGACGGAGTATAGTTCGAAAATAATTTTCAATTTTCGAATTATTTTTCTCATACAGCTTTATTGGATCATGAAACGTAAGTATCCTATAAAACATTGTCATAAAAAATTTTGATTCTAAAGAATTCGTAAAAATTACGCATACAAAAAATTCTATTGTTTATAGTAACAATTATTTACTATTTATTCATGTGGCATTTTTACGGTACGAAATTCATAAAACGTATATTAGGAAAATATATATTTTCTTCAATAAATCATTCATAAAAATTTGTGAAAAACAAATTTTACACATCTCCCAACAATTTATTATTTTTGTTTTATTTCTAATGTTTTATAATATTTCATTACAGACTTGCGTAAACAATTAAGTGTAAAGTAGTACAAATAATTGAAGATAAATCATAAAATTATCAAATTAATTTGTAAATTTTATTTTATATTGAAGAATATTGAAATCGTTTATTTTTATCCGAAAAATATTAATTAATTTTAGTACGATTATGTAATATTATAATGTTACAATATACAATGTATATAAAATAAATACAATAAAATTTATGCGCATTGTAACATTATAAAAAAAAGAAAAAAAAAAAAAAAAAAAGAAAATTTTGCTTTCTCAATCATATACGACTTATCATTGCATGATTTTGTTTCAAATATTGGAGAACAATAATTATTTATTACATATCATTTAATTGATTGAATATAATAACGACTTATAAATCTCTAATAAACAGTTATATACTTACGTATTCTTTCATTCTTACAAGCTATGTCAATCATTGAAATATACGCAGTGATTTCAACGCCAGTAGAGGAACCGAGATTTCAACGCTTGCATCTATTAAGAAAGGTACGCTATTATAGTTTAATTTTTTTTTTTTTTCATATTTAAATATACAAATTCAAATATAAAATTTAATTCGAAAAAAATATTCATATAATTGTTTTCAATAAATTTTACAAATAGACATTTTTTTCTTGATCAAAATAATTTATATATATTTTAAATTAAAATCTCGTCATTTTTACGAATAATTATAAGATTGAAAGATATAGGTGTGTATTCTTCCGTAAATTCGTATCATTATCACGAAACAAAATACCGTACATGATTGTATATGGTACATCTTTGTCGTTACCGTTACAATCGGGACCATGTTGCACTTCCTGCTAACTCCGTAGGAATACAAATTGGCAACTTGACGCTGTGGCTAGTTTGTAATCGAATCTTCTGTCGTAATTTTACATGAATAGTAGCTGAAAATCCAAATAACAATAAATTTCTATGAAAGTTTAATTTACGTGTATTACTTGAACAGAATCTTACTACAAGCAAAACCATCCTGACTTTTGTATCCTTTTAATCCTTTTACAATTTTTCTTATTTTTAACTAAAAATAAAATATACCGCAAACTTTTTGTTAAAAAATATCTATTATCCTGTAATTTATATTTATGAAAAAACTTTTAAAAAAATTTGAACATTTAAATAATTAAATTTTATAATTCAAATCATTCTAATGTTAAAAGCGATAAAATAATAATAAATTTTAATTACAATATTGTTTTATAATAATTTTATTTTATTTAATAATTTTATATATCCATTCTCCGCTTTAAAAGCCTCCATAAAAATACAGTAGAAGAAAAAGATCTTTTTCTTCTTGCGTTAATGCATTCACAAGAGGTCAATAACAGGAACTTAAAAAATAATACAAAAAACAAATCGTACGTGACGTAAAACACGTGAACCCATACTAATCCCCTATATCGGTGAGATAGTAATTTAAAAGTTACTATAAAGTATCATCTAGTTGCGTCATAATAAATACTTTCCCTGGCTGAGACCTTGTTCGTCTTTTTCCTTTCGGGACTATCTGGTTTCTGGCCGGATGTGAATCGGTTCAGGAATTGAGGATATGTCGATTCATAAAGGTCGATAGTAACCGGTAAGGGTTAACGAACGAGCCGCGACAGGATAAAATCAAAAAAAAATAAAAAAATATTTTCGAAGGTCCTGCCGAAGGACATACCTATATTACAACATTCTTGAACTGCATTCTTTCGAGTTCAAAAAAAAAAACCATAGGTGGTTCTAAAATAAAAATGGTAAACGCTTTTTATATATAGCTTAAATGCATTTTATGAATAATTCAAGTGCATCAAAATGTGTGAAATATATGCAATGTTTCCAGCATATGAAACTGAAAAAGAGATAAGATTTTTTTTAATTTTTAAGCGGTGAGTCGAATACAGAATAAAAACTTTGACGCAAATATTTTAAAAAATAGCAATTATACGGTAATTATAAAAAAATTGATTGTAAATATTTTATATGTACATATATATATCTTCTTTCTTTTTTATCTCCTTAAAATATTTGTATTTATGAGAGAAGAAAGTTATGATTATTATCAGAAATTTAGAAAATATTTTTTATAATTTAAAACTAAAATAATCTTTATGAAAATTATATAAAAGTATAAAATATTAATATAATTTTTTAAAGAGTTTCTAAAAAAGAATCAGAAAATTATTTCAGAGACAAAATTTGCGAGGAATTCTTCCATTTGGAAGATGCAAAACAATCTCAATCTTTCGAGGGTCTCGACTTTGTATCGGAAACACGAATGACTCCTGATTCTAAAATCGTTGCGAAAGATCGTTGATCCTCGCGAGCGACCTTCGCGAAGATACAAGAAAGGTCGTACCCGGACGTTCTCAAATTTTTGCTAAAACCCGTCCCCACGGTTTTTCTAAGTATTGGCTCCCTCTCGTTGATCGTCACAAAGACTCTCTTATACAAGAAGAGAGGTAACCGAGAAGAAGCCAAACAGAAAGGAGAGGGAAAGATCGCGATGGCCTCGACGTGCCAGCTCCGCCTCGCGAGGCGCGCAGCCACCAAGTGAAAGTGGGATTTTGCTTTCTACCCGTGACCAGTGACAAGCGCGCCGTGCTCGCGAACGTCTCTTTTCTACCGTGAGGATGTGTCCACTCGTTGTCCGTTGATGAACCAACGACACACATACGACGTGTCGAAAAAAACCGCCAATTTCAATCTCGTTACGATGACAGTGTTATTCTGACAGTTGGGCGAACAGCCTCGAAATCGTATCGTTACGAAAAAGTGCGCGGTGTGAACAAGTGCGAAAGGTAAAATGTCGAGACGCAAAAAGAACGATAACCGGTTCGTTGATGTGATTTTGACGTTTCTGATTCTTGGTTGCTCCTTCTTTTCAACCAACTGTCAACAAGGTACGTTTCTTTTTTTCTGAAAATACACCCGCGAAAAGTACCCCTTTAGAACAGCAAATTCGAGTGCATCTTACTTCGCGTTCCGACCGAGAGGGCGCGTTACTGATGTTATCCGCGCAATCCTTTCATGGATAAAGCACAGAGTAAATGCGAATGTCCTCGCGGACATATGTGTCGTGGAAGATTTATGGGATTCCAGGTTGTCTCGGTTGAATTTTTACTACCCTACAACGGGGCGCCCTCAGATTCTTCGAAGTATAATAATATATTGTTGCCGTGTGATTTACGAGCAACGGCGGACTTGGAAGTTTGTTCAACCACGGCCACTGAAAGATCCCGTTTGATTTTGACAACGTAATACGAGTGGAATGTGTAGGTGGTATTTATGTAATCCGGCGAGTCGACGGTGTATGACTGTCACGATTCACTGGGTACGGTAAAATCTCTCTGCCTTAATTCGTATTCTTTGTCGTTTTAACAGCGAACAAAATTTTCAATCAGTTGCTGTGAAATATCAATTGAAATTTTTTATCATATTTTTTATATTAGATATTTCAATTATATATAGGTTATTTTATAGGTTAACACTTTTTAATAATATTTTTTCTGTCCTTATTTTATAATCAAGATATAACAATTATAATATAATTTTACTACGTAATAATAGATGAAGAGATTGCAGATATGTTCGGAAGAATGGTATGTACAAATTTTTGTATGCAAATATTTATACTAATAGCATAATATACAGTATACTTCGTGTAACCCGGCCTTAAACCTGTAGATGAGATAAATGGATAACCGCTATGCAATACTAGATAGTTTGATTTCGTGACCTGGTACATTGCGATACAATACGCAATACAATAGAACCACAATTCTATACGAGTGTTACAATCGCATGCCACGATAAGGCAATTGAACTTCTATTGTTATGTGCAATAATGATTTCGATACATACGATTATCATGATTCTCTAAAACGGATATATCTAATTTCAATCGTGAATGATAAAATTGACATGATAATTCTACATGTACTATTTTTTCTATTATCGTACATCATATAACATAAAAAAATATCGAAATAAGAATCATTTTACGCTCATTAAATACTTAATTGAATTCATAAAATTAAGAAAAAAAAATATGATTTCGTTCAAATGAATTTCATGTTTGTGGGGTAATTGCTTGGTGTTAATAGTATCATAAATTAAACTAATCAGATCAAAAGTAAAAGGTTTTCATAATTTACGATTCATAGTATGTTCAATGATGATAAACTTGTTTATGTTTCATTCATTGATTTATTTTTTTTAATACGGAAAAATTAAAAATATAAATTTTAATTTGTTATTCAAATTTGAATTCTAAAAATAATGTTTTCTTTTCAACAATAGAATGCGAATTGTGCCTTTTTTTAAATCGTCAATAAATATAGAAGCACAAATACAAAGCAAATGACTTTTTTATTCAAAAAAAAAACTTAGTTTCCATTTCTTGAAAAGATTATGATATATATAAATAGCGTATTATTGCTTTACAACTTTAAAGGCTAATTGAAAATATGAATATTAATCATTTTGTTACGAGTTATAACTGTAAATTGAAATCTCAGATATATTCTCATTCGTGTTGTGGGCGTACAAGACATACGGTTTCCATATAAATGATTTCTGTGAAATATGACACGATTTTGTCGTGCATCTCATGACCTCGCTCTTTTCAGTGTAAGTTTTAGTAATACTCATCTTACGGATTTCATAATAGATAAAATTCTTAAATCACATAACCAAATTTATCATGAAATTAATCATCGAATTAGAAAAGTCCAAAATACGAATCAAATCTTTTCAAAATGATTCATAACGCATTCTTTTTACGAAGTATTGAAATACTTATATTTACATTATTCTATAAATAGTGTTACGAGATGAGTAAGTATATTCATTTTTCTCATTTGAATCATTAACCTTGAAAAAGAAACTTCTCTAGAGAAAGTTCGTGCCAATATGCACGAACGATATGCGTAGCAATATCTATGCATGTAGTTATTTCCTTACGCCTCGTTTCTATATCGATCGTTTGTTTAAATCTCGTGATTTTCAAACTTTCAATTTTAAAAAAGCACTATAAACTAGTAATATCTATAACATTGATTAATCAACAATTTAACAGATGAATAATATCGAATTGGAAGATTTTTTAAATATCAATCAAAAAAAATTTTATCGCATTTCTATATCTATACAAAATTTGATAAATAAATATTAATGATAAATTAGTGGCGCCAATTTGCACATGCAGTTCTTTATTAATCGTGTATACGATAATGGAATTCGAACATCGCGTATCGAGGATCTATGATTTAATTATGAAGTATTATAATAACGGCGTGTTCGCACATGGAAAGTGCGTATCGAGCGTCGAATCTTTGATGAGGCGCGGTTATTTAGGCTTCGTTTTCACTAGGATTGTAGGCCAGAAAATGGCACGATCGTGTGGTTGTTTCATTGCGTGTAGATACGAATCTTTCGCCTTTTACACTCGCTTTGAATAAGAAAAGTCACGGTACAATAAGCATAAACGTGTTATTTCAAAATATCGTCATACCAGTCAGATGTAGTTCTGCGACCTGCAGTTGAATATAAATACATTATTGAATGAGAGAAAAGGCGCGAGTGATTTTAATCGGTTTTAAATCGTGTGACGAGGTTACATCATCTTGTTTATACATACGTTTACATGGAACGTACAAATAAAGACTTCATGAAATATAACAAAAATGTATGTTTATGTATGTTACAATGTTTATATATATATATTAACAGAGTTGTATTGTTATAAAATCATAATTTTATATATTTCTGCAGAAATAGTAAAGAATGAATATAAATATATGTATTTTCCGACATGAGTAAGAGCATTGTTAATGAGGTCACTGTATTTTGAGATATGACTATTTATTTGTGAAAGTTGATAAGTTTTCTGAACAACAATACAGTATTTTTTGCTAGAAAATATTCGACAAAGGTAGTATGAGACTATACACATTATCGTATGATATATTAGTGATTAATTTTTAACAAAATAAAATTGTGATGAATATATATAAATTTTCCAGTAAAAAAACCATCGATACTTTAGCAAGTACTTCAAGTTAAGAATTCGTGTGAACGTATGTGCGGAGAGTAGACGCGATCAAGTCGAAGGACGATTGAAAGGAGAACGGCTACACTCGCCCCATTATTTATATACAACTTCGTTGCTTAAGCTTGGCACGCGCGACTTCTCGCTCCTTTCGTGTATGTACACCCGTTAGAATTCAGCCAGACACTTCCTGCTGTCTCGATCGTGAAAGTACCAAACGAGTTTTATGAAAATACTAGTATTGGCATATAAATGGTTTCGAATTACGTCAATAGATCGATGAATTGGCCAACAACTGAAAATATCGAATCCGGATGGTATCAACACCGGATATTATAAGACGTATGATCAAGTTCCGTTAAAAGATCTAGAATGACATTGATCGAATAAATCACCATAATTTTATTAAATATCGATGAATTTCCAATGAATTTTATTACTATTATTACACGCAAAAAGTTTATTATGTTCTTTAAAAAAAGCATTAAAGACTGATGTAACGGTTCGAAGAAAGATTGTATTAGTATGAAATTAAATATATGATGCGAAGTAACATACTTCCATTGACATTTAGTCACGTAGCACTTACCACAAGTATTCATGCATATGCTGTTAATAACGCAATAATTAATAGCGTTGATCAATAAATCGTTGAATCTGAAAAATATTTACTCGTATAAAAACAGATTTATTATGTACAATCAAGAATTAACAGTTTTTAAAAATAACTTTAACATATTTAAATCATATTAATTAGTAGTATTACAGAAAAAAACGCAATCTAATATAATTTTCTTTTCTATATATATATCAAACCATGATAATTAAGAGGCGGAACCTAAAGTGCAAGTGAACTTTAGTAATCTATAATTAAAATGACGCGTGTGCGTCTAGCAATGAAAAATCAAACCGTATGTCAAGAAAGGAATCGCAAGAAAGTCAGCACAATTAATGTATTCAAATAGCGTAACCACGCCTTAATTTATATTCGCTCTCGGATTTCGAAGGTCTGGAGCTTTGTCGATTCCATCGCGGACACACCCACGGAATTATTCCAGTTACGACATTTGCCACTGATACAACCCTTTTCAAGAATATCCCGCGGTGTTGCCAGTCAGAATATTTCACTCATTCTTCCTAGGAAATATAATATTTTGCTGAATAAGACTATCGTGAGCCAAAATTTATGCGCACTTTGTGTAGCCATAATATATTTTATAACACGAATAGAGTGCTAAGATTTAAGAATTTGATAGATGTATCATTTGTTGAATTGAACAAAAAATATTCAATGCATAAAATAGATTTATAATTTGAAAGGATATTTCTAATTTTATTAAATTTTCTTTTTTTAAGAAAATAATGATAAGATCATAAATCAATTCGTAAATATTTTGTTCGAAAAAAGAAATAATATCATACTTATATAGATGTTCGAGACGAAGATAGCGGAACTTAGTAATATTACGAAGAGAAACTGGAGTAAAGTGGAGAAACTTATTATCTTTTTATACGGAGTTTGAAAAAAGTTTGTTGGATACGTAATACATTCTGTTTCTTACGATTTAGAAATTTGATTCTTTTTTTTAAAATTGTTGCAAAAATTGTTTTCTGCAACAGTGCATTATATATCTTCAGGAATCGAAGTGTTACTAATAATTTAAAGATTTTGCTTAATCGTTTTTAATTCAATAGAAGAAAGTTTAAATATAAAATAATACGAAAGTAGAACATACTTTTTCTAATTGAAAGCTAAGAAAAAGGAGAACATCGATATAACTAAATTCTCGAAGAAGAAAAGATTATCGCTGCGTGTCGAATAAAAATTAAGTTTGATCATCTTGAACGTAAAAAGTGGATCGAACTTTTTCTAATCGAAAGTTGGAAAAAATTGGAACCTAAATACTATGTATATCTAATACAACAACATCATATTATAATAATATGAAAATCTAAATGATCGCTTAATTACACAATGTGACAGGAAATTTGTCAAGTTTTCCGCGAAAAGTTAAGAAAATGAAATAGACTGTTTCTCGATGCAAAAGACATTACAAAACACTAAGAAACAATGATGGAAAGTGTCTTCGCTTTCTTTCGGAAAGACTCGGAACAGTTTCTCACGGAACATGCTAGTTAAGTCCGTGAAAGAGCAACTATGATTTATACATGATTGTGCGAATCGAGCACACCCATTTTCTATTTTCGATGCTCTAATTTTTATACATTTCCATTTGTTTACTCTAAGATGTATTTAATTTTTATGTATGATGTATTTTTTCCCAAAAAAAGAATCAATGAATTTTGTACAAAATTTCTTTTAACTTTTAATTTTTTAGATTTAAAAATTTTTAATCTTTTAAATCTTTTTCTTGAAATATCGTTACAGAGAATCAACGAATTTCCACTCAAGGATCAGCAGAGACTTGGGACCAATTATCGCATCTGATACCGACGAATTCGGTATACGAACAACAAGATAAAAATGCATCCCCTCCTGTTAACAATCCAGGAGAGGCGTTATTACGCTCCTTGGACGAGAATAACGTCATGGAGACGTCGAAAACAAACGGGAAGATGAACGAACGTGAAGAGGAAGCGGACGAAGAAGTCTACGAGGACGAATACGAGGTTGAAACCGAATCAAAAGCGCAACACGAGACTTCGAAACTCTCCAAGATCACCGATGACACGGTGAAGCACGAAAAATCTTCCCTGGATTTATCTTCTCACACGGAAGACACTTCGTCCAGAGACGAAGATTATGTGGAAGATCCCTCGACAAGTCAATATGACGCGTATTATTATTATGATGATTATGGAAATACCAGTAAATCGAGATACGAGGCCATAGGTAAGATACAATTCGAAAATTGTTTAAATTCTGTAACATTTAAAAGATTTTATGAATTAGAATAATTTCAAAGCATACAATTAAATAAAATTCGAATCGATTTTCTTATCTTTTGATAAAGATAGGAATTAAAAGATCGTACAAAATCGATTACTTCTTGTCGTAACGCAAAGACGTTTTAAATTTGTCTTTTTTCTTCGTGATATAACACGACAAATTTTAATTATGATCTTTATAAACGCGTTCTGTATTATGTAAACTCGTTTCATCACTTAGCACTATGGAAAGTTTCATGCGTAGAAGGAAACGCGACGGATGTGTATATCATTAATGCTCGAGTTTCTTCCTCATCATATCCTTAAAAGAGTAAGATTCTCCAAATTTTGCAGCAAACGCTGACACCCTCGACTATCCAGACGCGGAGGAAGAGGAAAAGGAGACGGAGGAATTAGTAAAACAAGAAGAAACGAGAAAATCGGAAAACAACGAATACGATTCGTCGGAGACGGAAGAGGAAAATTTAGATACTCGTCACATGGCGAATGTAAACGACTCTTCGTCGGATCTTTTCGACGAGAAGGATTTGGATACGCCGATTTCGATGACGAACAACGAGGACGGTTCCTCGATGGAGGGCAGTCATAAAATGTACGCTTTTCTCGGACCACCGATCGCGAAAATGAATTCCACCTCCGTCGATAGTTCCATTTTGATCGGTGGAGCTGTGGTATCGGTGGTAACAACCAAGAGCGTGGTCAACGGCACGATTTCCATTCCAACGACAGCTGCTCCGACCACCACTGAACAAGTTGCAGCACCGCCTTCGTCCACGTCACTTGGAACCACCGAACAACCCGTGACAACAATAACGACCGAAGATACTTCCAGAATATTGGCTTCCGTGCAAACGAGCCGTAGCATATCCGGTGCACGATTCTTACCATTTCCTGTGATAGATCGCATCGAGCCGATCGGCAGCCATAACAATGAGAAGAAAACGTCCCCACCTCCAGAGTCCACGGAAAGTGTTAGTGACAAATTAGATAGGGTACAGTCCGAGTTGTCCAATGGTTTTCTCGCTGGTGGCTTCAGAACTGCCGGCAATACGCTTCAATTGGATGTTCTGAACGAACGTGATCGAAATAATCGTAGGAGGTACACTACGACTGCTAAGACACCAGTCATTAACAAATTTGTACCTCGTCGATATAACGATAAAAGGATTGACCATATCACGCCGAAGTCGAAGATTGAGACGACGCTTGATAGCCTGGAAGGACTGTTACCTCGTGATTATGTTACAAGAAGTTCGATGTCAATGCTTCCGAAGACTGGATTTAGGTTGGTGATGTTTTAAAATTTTATATTATCTTAATCTTTTTAAGATTGTATATATAAGAAAGATATGTTAATGTCCTTTAGATGGCCTACAAAAAGCACGACAGAACGAACCACAACTCAGATCACGTCGACTACTTCCGTTACTACGAAAAAACCTAAAACTAACGCGATCATTCAAGATATCCGCTCCTTCTTACCACCTGGATACGAATTAAAGAAGGAGGATGCGGCTGTTACAGAAAGTTCTCTATTAAGCGATATTCTTGCGAAATCTAAGGTTGATATATCGTCGTTATTGCCAGCGGATTATGAGAAGAAAAAAAATGAAGGAAATTCAAAAAATAAAATAATTACAACAACAGCGAAGAATTTAGATATTTCCGCAGAGAAATCAATAGTCGATATAAAAATTCAAGATTTATTCGCCAAATCCAAGTTTGATATTTCTTCTTTCGTACCGCGTGATTACGAACAGAAAATTAAGAATTTCTCTTTAGAAACGAAAGATGTTCACACTGAGAATGCAAACAAATTTAATATTAGTACGACAACAGAATCTACTTCAACTACGATAAAATCTAAATTTGTCTTTCCTAGTTCTCTTAGCAGAACAGGAAAACCAATTCATAAAATTACCACATCACCGAAACCACGAACGGACATACTTGTCACGCCGAAAATACGAACTGGTTGGCCTACCAGGTAAACATTTTATTTTGTATTATCTAGATATGAAATTTAAAATTTAAATTTGAACGTTAAATATAAACTTAATGAAATTAAGCTGAAATTAAATCGACTTGGTGTCAAACTTTTGTTTAAAATATTTCAGACCTACCACAGAATTTAAGTGGCCTACTCCATCAACTACCACGCCAATCTCGATAGAAGAACTTTTGGCTCGAGCCACGATGAGTGTTTCTGAATTACTTGTTCCAATAACCAAAGTATTGTCAACCACTTCAACGACCACAACTACAACAACGACACCAAGACCTACTACACCAGGAATTTGCGAACAAGATTGTGAAGTCGCTGGAACTATAAGAATAATTGGTAATGCAAGTTGGGTACCGGAATTGCTTGATCGAAATACTCAAGAATGGCAGAATCTTGCCAATGAAATTGAACGAGAGGTATTCATGAATTTATTATTAAATTAAAAAATATTATTATTTTATATACTTATGAGATATGTATTTAATTTTTAATAGATGAACTTTGTATTCTCAAAATCTGCTGTTCTGGCAAAATGGTATAAAAAAATAAGAATTGATTCATTCAGGTAATAAGAGCAATATATTAAATTTTTATAATTATCACAAAAATTATTATTCATTTAATTAATAAATTTATGAATTCTCTCTCTCTTTTTAGCGAGGGCAGTATTTTAGTAGATTACTTTGTTGAATTGGCCAATATGCAGCAGAAAATTAATACGCAAGATTTAAAAGTTATTTTTCACGATTCTTTAAGAACATATAATACAAATAGATGGAATGATACGAAAACAAAGGATTCGATAAAACTTGGATCATTTACGATCGATCCAAAATATACGGATTTTGTAGGTATGTCATATTATTAGTAAATAAATATTTAACAAAATTGAAAATCTTCATATTTATTTTAAAAATAATTCTTTTTTAGTGATACCCAAAGCAACTCCTCCTCAATATATTGAAAAAGACGATAGACTATTTCCACAATGGGCAATTGCTGTAATTGTAATTGGTGTCGGTGGATTACTCTTTATCATTATATTTGGTGTTTCCGTTGTATGTATAAAATTACAAAAGTAAACATTGAAAATATTGATATAGAATTAATATTTATTACAATATAATTATATAATTTTCAGCTAATAAATCGTCATAATGGTTCAAAATTAAAACCATCTATATCTACAATTTACGAAGAAAAAATAGCAAAAAATATGTCAAGCCACAGATCTAGTGATTATTCAAAACCAGTACATACGATTTGGACTGATCCAGACGTTTCTTGGAATGACAAATCTTTTGAATCGACTTCCAATAAGGTAAGATTCTAAAAATATATATATGTGTGTATATCTATTCGTATTTTTTTAACAAATTCATTTTATTTTCAAGATACTTGTCGAAAAATCTTTTCAAGAAAATAAAAAATATAATATGTATGATAGTTGGAGATCGGAATGGAATGGTTATTATTACAATGGATCTCATACCAGCAATAAATATGGTGGTTATGATACTACAAATTTATCGAATCATAATCTTTCAAATTACGATACAAATATATCAAGTCATGATCTTTCTAATTATGATACGAATTCATCAAGACATGATCGTTCTGATTATGATACAAATCTATCAAGACATGATCGTCCTGATTATAATACAAATATATCGAGACTTGATCGATCTGATTATGATACAAATATATTGAGGCACGATCGTCCTGATTATAATACAAATATATTGAGACATGATCATTCTGATTATGATACAAATATATCATGTCATGATCTTCCTAATTATGATACAAATATATCCTGTCGAAATCTTCCTGATATCGATACAAATATGTCACGTCATAATCTTCCTAATTACGATACAAATTTTTAAAGTTTATTGTAATAAAAATAAAATTTCTATTAATTCCATTTTTACTTAATTTATTCAATGCCTTAAATAATTTGACAAAATTTTAAATTTAATTTAAATAGATTCAAATTTAATAAATTAATAATTAACAATATTAAATTATTAATAATAAAATATAAAAATAATATAGACTTTATGTAATATTTTATTTATAATTGTTTTTTTAAAATTTTTTGCAATTTTATATACTATACTATATACTATAATATATATAATAATTATATAATATATATAATAATATATTATATACTATAATATATTATTTTATGTTGATCAAGTACTATTTTATCAAAAAATAAATCTTTCACAAATAAATTATATAATAAATATCATTATATAATTTATTATTATACCTATTATTATTCTATTAGAGTTGAAAAAATACTCAAAAAAAAAAAGTTAACCAAGTTTTAACCAAGTATTCGATTTGAATAATCCAATATATATAAACATATTCTATTTTGCAAGTTTATCATTTTAAAGATATATTGTAAAGCTAAGAATGCAATATCTATATTTTTTATTTATATTTTTTTTAAAGATTAAAATACATCGTAGTATTTTAAAAAAATAAGTACTTTAAAAGTGCATTTAATTCCTTACTTTATTTTTGATCATGCGTTAAAAGTAAAAAGATTAAATAGTAAGAGAAAAATAAAGATAATTTAAAAATTGTGAAATTACCGTTATCTTCAGAGTGTCGTAAGTGAAGCTCACAAAGAATAGAAAATAAGAGAAAGATCGATATAAAGTAAGAAGTAAACGCCATCTCTTGAGAATTAAAAATATTTTTTCAAAAAATTATCTTTCTAGAAATATTCAAAGATGACGCTAAAAATTACTTCTTATACTATCTCATTATTTTCAATTTTTTCTTTATGAGTTTCATTTATATTCTGAAGATGATACTAATTTTATAATTTTTAAATTATTCCTATTTTTTTCTCACACTATTTATTCTTCTTGTCTATTTTTGATGTAAATATCAGCAATCAAGAAATGACTCCAATATTCCATTATAAATATATTAATTTTTTGACTAAAAATTTTGTAAGTATATCCATCTTCAGTTATAAGTATATGCAAAGTTTAAATTTTTATTATTCGAAAAAAGTTTATATACATATATATATTATATTATATACATATATATATTTATTCTATAAATATTTATTTGTGATACTTGCTTTTACTAGATTTTAAAAAATTATTAATAAATACATAATTTTTTATCATTCATTTATTGATTCACTATTACAAAAATTTCGTTTTTCATTCTAATAGTATTAAGTGTGAATATTTAAAATATTTTATATTTTTATAATATGAAGATATTTATTCTAAATTAAATTTATTGTTATTATAATTAAAAAAGAGGATCATTTATGCAGAGGAATTTATGCTTGTTTTTTTATGGCATAAATATTGTTAATTTACATATATAAAAATAAACTTTTTTATATTCATTAAGATGTACAATTTGTTTATAACCACACAAAAATATAGAAATATATAATAAATTTATAATAATTTACTTGGTAATGATAGCAATTCCATAATTGGAGAAACAGTTTTTTTTTCATGAATTATATGACGTTTAAGAATGCTCAAAAGTTTTTGATATAAGAAGGAATGTCTGTAAAATAAAGATTCAAATTTCGTAATTTTAATCTAAAAAATAATAATTGCAAAAATAAAAAAAATTTAAATTATTACCTGCTAGCTGGTTTACATATAGACAAATGATCTTGTGCAATTTCATAAAATTCACCTACTCCAGGGTCTAAAAATAAATAAAAATAAATATTACAATTTTTATTAAAAAATTTATAATATATAAAATTATATTAAATTATAATTTTTTTAAATCATACCTGCTGAAGTGGATGTAACAAACTGAAATGGAACATTCAATGGTGTTACATGGGTAGGTTTAGTTTCACTAAAACTAACAATCTCTATAGGATATTCCTTCAACATATCAAGGAATTCATTGTGTAATTTTAATAATTGTGGCGATTCTAAACATAATCATAATTTTTATAAATATATTTAAAAAATTTATTAATTAGTACTGTTATATAATTTTTTATTATATGTTAGTACTGTTATATGTTTTTTATATAGTTTTTAGCATACCTTCACGAAGTTCCTGTACTTCGATTGACGGCCATAATACCATTTGTGTTGCTTGTTTTAATGCAGCTACACGAGAACCTCGATGTGGAGTACTATAGAATACTATACTACGTGTATTTTTACATACATTATTTTTATCGCCATTTTTCCATTCTGTAAAAAAATTCAATTATATTTATAGATAAATAAATTTATAAAATTTATAAAGATATTTTATATAATGAAACCAACCATCTACAAGCATTTTTTTTACTAATAAACCACCCATTGAATGACAAACCCAAATCATAGGTCGTTTTCCAATACCCGCAGTTAATAATTTTTTTATATATTCTTCACTCCTTCCAGCCATAGTGGCTCTAATTAATAAATAATATAAATAAATTATAAATTTTTAATGTCAATTAAAATAATAATATTAATCATTTACTTTGCACTCTCTATTGGACATAGAGATGTCCACATTGACAAATTAGTGTCATAATTTATCCCAATAACTCGAATAAATGGTACATCATCTGGTAACCAATCTTTAGGCCAACATTGCGTTTTATGTTGCTTATCATGAAAAATTTTCTTCATACAAGCATCATCTCTAAAATCAGAAATTTTTAAACATATAAATATTTTCAATGAAATTTTAGATAAATTTTAAAAATAAAATTGTACCCATTGCAGGAAAATGGTCCATTTCCTCTGGAACTATTTTGAGGACAATCATCTAAAATTATTTCAAAATCTTGTCCTATTTTATCCCATTCGCGTTTTCTTAAATCATAAGTTAAATCTTTTAAAAATTCTTGAGAGTGATCATCTATCAAACTTGAAAAATCAATTCCATCTTGTATAAGACATGGATCTATAAATATATTATAAATTATTTTTCAAAATTAATTTTAAATTGATATTTATTAGAACATTTATTTATTATAAATTATTAGAATTATTAGAATATTAATGTATAATTTTTCACATTTATTAGATTAAATAATAACAAACCTACAACTCCATCTTCAGATATATCAAGATTTCTTTGTCTCCATGTTATAAATACACCACCAAGTAATCCATGTAAGAAAATAACATCCAAATTTATATTTGCTGTAGTTTTATGCAAAGGATGAAGAAGATAGATACATCTTGGATATTTAACATATTTGTTTTCATCGATATCTAAATTTGCTAATGCACGACTAGCTGGTGCTGATAATCTTACATTACTACTTTGAGACCATTCTACCAATGTGCCAATCCAACCTTGAAATAGAAATTCGAATAATACATGCATTTTAAGAATTTTAAAATTTTATTTTACATATATACCTGCTTGAAAAATATCTTGCAAATATTTTGAATGAAGTGAAATATTAGAAATTATTTTTGCAAGTAATATACACATATTAGTGTTATCATTAAAAATTTTCTTTATTATCATTAGTAATGAAAGACCACCACCATCAATAATATCTAAATGAAAAAAAAATTAATTACAAATATTTTAAATTACTATATGTATATTTGTTATTTTACCTTTGCTATATTGCTCAAGACAAGAATGATGATATAGTGCTTGTACACAATTCTGTAATAATTCTTGATCCCATACTGTGGCTGGTGCTACAGCCAGCCCTAAGTTTGTTAAATCGTGATCAAGTATCAGACTATCCTGTTTTTATACTTTGTAAATAATTAAAATGCGCACAAAATAGTTTGCACAATAGAAATTAAAATATTTTTTTATAATATATACTTACAGAAGGTGTATCTTTAAAATTTTTATTAAGAAATTGAATAAGACATGGATGTGTATTTTCACATAATGTGCTTAAATGAAGAAGTAATTGATGTATTTTTTCTATTACATCCTATGGAAATATAATCTTTCATTCAAACATATAACTTAAATATAATTAAAAATTTGCTATTAATATAATACATACATGTAATTTATGTTGTACATGATAATATGGTGGCTTTAAAAAAAATCTTGAATCAACATTTGGCATTCTTGCAAGTGAAATTGCAGTTTTGGCATCCAACATTTGTGCAATATGTTGATAATGCCAACCTATAATTTTTAATTAAAAATATAACAAATATTTATATAAAATACTAATTATAAAATAAATACTTTTTAAATGTTTCAAGGAATTAAGAGTACAAAGAGCTTTCAAACGTTCTCTGACATTGCCCTGCTGTGCAATGTATAATAATTTATATGCTACATTACGAGTTAATGATTTCCACCATTTCATTATAGTATGATTGAATGAAAGAGATTGTACTGGCACAGATGATTGTAAATTTTCAACTTTTCGTAACATGAGTACATCTAAAAGTATAATAAAAATATTTAAATTTATTCCACATAAAATTAATAAATCATTATATCTAATATAATTTTTCACAAATACCTTTGAACCGAGGGTCATCAACATAAATATATTGAGTATGTGGTTGTTCCAAACTCAAGACATTAGTAGGTACAGAAGATTGTAAAATTTGTGATACCTGTCGTAATTGATACAAAAACCAACAGCCACTATATGAAAAAATATTTATAATATTATTTCATTATAAACAATATTTATAAAAATGCAATAAACATAACTAACCCAACAATAACAATAGAAATCCCAGTTGATTTTACATATTCTATATATTTCTTATAAGTTTTTAATCTCATTGTAAAAACAATTATATTCTATCAAGAACATATATATATAATTATATTCATATAATCTTAATATTTAAATGTACACATACACACATATATATATATATATACATATATATACATATTATATATATATATATATATATATATATATGCCATGTGCCAAAAATAATCAAAATCAAGAATATAGAATTATTTTACGATTGATTACACTTATATATTTGTACATAATTATTGAAATATTACAATATTTTATTTAGAAAATACTTATAATGCTCTAAAAAAAACAATTTATTAATGTCATATTATTTATCAATATATTTAAATATAATAAACATCATAGTACATTTAAAATTTAATGTTCATGACCAACAGAATAATGATAAAAAACATTTATAACCAAAAATATTGAAAAATATTAGATATAGTAATAAGAAAAATATTTTTATAGTAGCATGATATATTGATACACACATACACAAAAAAAAAGAAATTTTTAATAATTCATATATATCGAAGATATCAAATTCTATTTAAATATGTATATTATATCAAAATTTTTATATATACCAATTTTTATTATAAATATTATAGCATATAAATTAATAACTGCTTCAAATTAATTATTATAAATTCTACAGTAAAATTCCAATAAAATTAGAAAAAAATAATAAAATTACAATTAAATTTCTATGTTACTGCGGATGAAGCATTAAGCAGTATAGAATAAATCGCAAGCAACCAATGCAAATGCGGCTGCGCCTGAATACGACAAGCGGCCTCGAGGCGCTGTTCGCGCACGAACTCTTCAGTCTTTTTGCTTCCCATTTTGTACCGTACAGTACGTCCACCGAAGTACTGACGTTTCGCTGTGCCATCGCATGGCCGACGTGTGCATTCCGAGGTTCACTTTCGCGTGGTACCCGCTGTGTCACAAGTATCACTTTTAAAACGTAACACTTGTGGCAAACATCAACATACTGATCTCAAAGTGAGTGAAAAGTGTGGTAAACGATAGTTTCATTTTTTGGAATAGAACAGTAATTCTTTGTCGAACACGTTCTTTCTGACATAATCCGGTATAAACTGGATTGAAGCAGATTCATCGATAAACGGATTGATCATTCATTTCAGAGAAAAATTCCTAGATCCGGCTTTCACGTCGACGTGGACCACCTTTCCAGGCTTTGTCCCGTTGGTGATAAACGATTAATTTAGTAGCAACTCATAAGCCGCGACCACGCGACACAACGCGCAGCTATGTCCAACGAGGAGACTTCCGCCGACCGCAATGTCGAAATCTGGAAAATCAAGAAACTTATAAAAAGTCTCGAAATGGCTAGAGGGTAAGTAGGTCGAAATTAATATTGCCGCGCCTTTTCTTATCAGCTGTTCGATTTTCTATCTGCACATATGCTTTAAAAAGCATGTGGTAAATAGGAAGTAACGAACTTTCGTTTCTAATCAGAAAATGAATTTTATGTGATATTATATAAAAAATTTTATAAATTTTTAAAATTCTGAAAAATATGTTATTTTTTTATTGTCTTATTATTGAATTTTTTATTACACTAAAAAAATATATATTTTATTAATTTAATATTAATACAACCTCATACAAATAGATTATTTTATAATATAGCGTTGTTTATAATATATATTTATCATATATCAAATATCTTATTTCACAGAAACGGGACTAGCATGATTTCATTAATTATCCCTCCAAAAGATCAAATATCAAGAGTAAGCAAAATGTTAGCAGATGAATTTGGTACAGCATCAAATATCAAATCTCGTGTAAATAGATTGTCTGTTTTGGGTGCAATTACGTCTGTACAACATAGGCTAAAACTATATACTAAAGGTAATTTTAATAATTTCTTATATTGTAAAATTTATATAAACATTAGATATATTTTTAATTTATTTTATTATATTTAGAATCAAAAATTTACAAGTGAATTCTTATCACTAATATTTATCATAAATATTTTCTTCAAAAACAGCAATTATATATAATTATATATTGATAATATTAATTACATATTATTACATATTTTAGTGCCTCCAAATGGCCTGGTGATATATTGTGGTACGATCGTAACAGAAGAAGGAAAAGAAAAAAAAGTTAATATTGATTTTGAACCTTTTAAGCCTATTAATACTTCTCTTTATCTGTGTGATAACAAGGTATTATTTTATAATTTTGATACATGATAAAAAAATTTTTGAATTAAATAAAATTTTAATATATCTTTGATTTATAATATATGATTTTTAATATATGATTTTTTTTAGTTTCATACTGAAGCACTTACAGCATTACTTGCTGATGATAACAAATTTGGTTTTATTGTCATGGATGGTAATGGAGCATTGTTTGGTACGCTACAAGGAAATACTCGCGAAGTTCTACATAAATTTACAGTAGATCTTCCCAAAAAGCATGGTACATGATACTATTTAATAAAAAATATTTATATATGTATATATGTATATATATGTATATGTTTACTGAAAATTATTACATTAATTAATTAAATCTAATTTTAGGCAGAGGAGGACAGTCAGCACTTCGTTTTGCTCGGTTGCGTATGGAAAAACGACACAATTATGTTCGAAAAGTCGCAGAAGTAGCTACGCAACTATATATTACTAATGATAAACCTAATATTGCTGGCTTAATTTTAGCGGGTAGTGCTGATTTTAAAACAGAACTTAGTCAATCAGATATGTTTGACCCAGTAAGTTGATGGATATTCATGATATATACAATTAAGTTTGTAAATATATATTTTTCAAATATAACTTAAATTTACTGTAATTTATATTTATATTTTTTATTTTAGAGATTACAAGCAAAAGTTATAAAATTAGTAGATGTTTCATATGGTGGTGAAAATGGTTTTAATCAAGCTATTGAATTAGCTGCTGAATCTTTGCAAAATGTAAAATTTATCCAGGAAAAAAAATTAATTGGTTAGTATATTTATCATTTATGTTTCTAGAATTTTCTATTTTAAAAATATGAATTTAAAAAAAGTAATGATGGAATTGTTAATTTATTTTAAAAATAATATCAATATTATAACTATCTAGGTCGTTATTTCGACGAAATTTCGCAAGATACAGGAAAATATTGTTTTGGTGTAGAAGATACATTAAGAGCATTAGAATTAGGTAGTGTAGAAACTCTCATTTGTTGGGAGAATTTAGATATTCAACGATATGTTTTAAAAAATCATACAAATGCAGAAGAAAAGGTTTTACATCTAACACCAGAACAAGAAAAAGACAAAACTCATTTTACTGATAAAGAGGTAAATTAAAAAATTTTTATTATTTAATTAGTAAATTTAATTAAATAAACAAATATAATTAATATTAAATATTCTGTATTAAATTTAGAGTGGAGTAGAATTAGAACTTGTAGAATGTCAGCCTTTGCTTGAGTGGTTAGCAAACAATTACAAGAGTTTTGGTGCCACTTTGGAAATCATTACAGATAAATCTCAAGAAGGTTCTCAATTTGTAAGAGGTTTTGGCGGCATTGGAGGTAAGTTTTACTTTTTTTTTTACTTGTTTTTGGGGCTACTAACATTATATTTGACTGAAAGTAATATACTTGAAGTAATAATTTGTATTCATCCACTCGAAGTACATACTAACTGAAAAGCGGCTGATTCCACTTTGATTAGCTAACCTGTAAAACAAAGGATATAAGTTTAATGTTGTGTATATATAATAAAACTTTCAATAGATTTTTAAAATGTAGTTGAATCTTGAGAATTTTCTCCAAATTTTCTTCATTTAAAATATTTATTACAAACGAAAAAGTAGCAAGCTTCAAGAATGTGTCTTTATCAAGATATTAAATAAATTCATATATTTGAAAAGTAAATGGTATTAAAGAAAAGTTAAAAATATGAGTTTTAATTATGGAGTATATCTTGATGCATAGGAATCCTCCGCTACAAAGTTGATTTCCAGTCACTGCAGGCTGATGAGCCTCTTGATGATGTTGACCTCGATGATTACTAATTTCATCTGTGAAATACTCAAAGTTGACCAGGTAGCTCTTTCTCTGTCTTGAGTGCATTCGTTTACATTTCGTGTATTATAGAACATATTACTTTCAGAACTGGACAAATTTATCAAAATATTTATGAGCCTAGTATATATATACTTAAATAAAAACAAAAAAATAAAATAACTACACAATATAATTATTACATTAATTAATGATAATTTAATATATTAAACCCTCACATGATAATATTCATTAATAGTTTAATTATGTTAATGTATATCAAATAGTTTGCATTTTAAATGTAGACTATATCAAATATATATATATATATATCATTTTATGATATAAATCCTATACTCATCATGAAGAGATCAATTGTTAAAAATCATTAATATAATATTACTATTGATATATTATGTTATTGAGACTTCAAATATATGTATCATTATGGAACGATAAATTTGTCCAAAAAAATTTGAAGTTTCTTCTGTTGGATTTCTCACTGAATAGTATAGTTCGATACTTCTGTGCAAATCTGTAGTATATGTATGTCTCTTCTGATGAGTTTGAATGTGAATATAGATATTTTTAGTTGTGAATTTCGAGGTATAATGTTTACTTTTATAAATAAAAAGCCTGAAAACTTTGCTGTCTTCTTTTTTTCTTGGTGGTACAAAAATTAAGAAAATCTTGTATATACATATATGAAATATGGATAATTGTATTTGAAGAGGGTGAGTTGAAGTATTCCAGTTTTCCAACTTTTGTCTTGAACATTATTAGACACTGTTTTTTTAGTGATTGTACATTATATTATTAGTAATTAAAATCAAACTGTAGGTACAATACACATCAATTTAATTGAAATATAATATTGCTTATTTTCATAAACACAATTATATATTTTTGTTTTCTCATGATACATTTTATTTTAAATTTTTGTTGCATATTTAAATTGCATAAATTTTTATATACATAAAATTAATCATAATTTAGACATATAATATAATTTTATTGATTCTTGAATTTAATGTAATATGTTCTC